TCTACGATCGTCACTGCAACGGTGACTTGGGGACTGCGTACTGTTGAGCGATATTCGGTTTTTTTTCGAGTTTCTGTGACTTAGGCGTGGTGTTCAGTGTGTTGAAGTCCAGGTGCCCATTGCTTTTATGAGTATAGCGCGGAGTTTTTCACATTTCCTCTCCCGACTATGCTGTCATTCGTCGCAATGATTATTCCTCTACAAGAATATGTTTAACTGAGCCTTCATTTTGATTAATTCCGTTTTGTGTTAATAAAATGATCAGTTCTGGAAATCGATCACCCTAATCGTTTTCTTTCATTGAGTACACAGTGCTATTAAAGTTTTTTTTTTCAATGAATTTTCTGTTCAGATGTATTATACGATGATGGTTATGCCACTGGAAAGGAACAATCAAGGGTTGAAACGACTTCGACACGCAGCCGAAGCGGCAACGATGTTCAATGTTCTCTGCACCCTTGTGCATTCCCTGGGCATCGTCAGTCTTTCGTTCATTTCTGATTACTCTTAAATTTACTAACTTGAAATGATACGGATCGCAAAATGTGCACTACTGGGCACTTTCTTAGCTCCTAGGCTGTGACAGCAGAGAAAAATCGATTTTTAAATTTGGCTGCGTTAAAAAAATTTTTTTCAGCTAAATAGTTGCTCATTTTGATAATTTAGTGAACTTTCTTCTTATCGTAGCACCCTTTCATCGCAGCCTTTCTGCTTTTGCCGTAACCATGCATCATCACTTTTGGCCGGCTGATTTTGATCTCGATTCGGAGAGGAACACTGTATTTTTTTAAGCTGTTTTTATGCTTCTCTATCTGTGATCTGCAAAAGGAGTTGATTGCTGTGCGAAAATTTGGCATACAAGAGTACCTGCAAGCAGTGGATTGACTGCATTACTATTTTCGCTCTGTACAATCGTCGGAAAGTCAAAAATTTACTTTAAAATTGGGCAATACAAAAATGTGTTATGTCTTTTTTGTGCAGCACTGGCTTGAACGAGCATCTGTTTTTTCGCCGTCACGCGGGC